TGACAGAAACGTTGCCATACTGACCTTACTTAGGTACTGTGAAGAATTATCTCTGCTTCTTCAAAGGACTGAAGTATAACAATGGAAGAAGATAACTGTCCTAGAAAGCATTCTAATAAGAGTAGCAGTGTGATCCCTAAAGGAATGGACAAGGAAGTCTCTGTTTAATCCATGCAGGAAGAAAGCATGATACAGAGAAATAGGCACAGTGCAATTGGAGAAAGGGCTATTTTCACTCAGTAAGAGAGTGAAAAGAGAGAAGTCTGCTGTAAAGTATTTTATCGCAAGACATGAACCACTGATCCTTCAAAATTACAGTCCTGTCGTAAGAGTAAGCTAGTTCTTCTATTCCCGTACTTGCTTATTTGTGCAAAGCCAGGCAAGAATCAAGTTAACAGGACACAACAGTGTAAGATGCCCACTTCCCTCCCATGCTGTAAGTGGGTTTCCCAGGAGCATCTGGTTAGCCACTGAGGATGCTGGATCTGATGGATCTTCAGTCTGATCCAGGCTGCCATCTTACATTCTTAACAGGACACCACCACTGTTTTTCATACATGCATGCGAGATTTCACTGTCCTTGTATCCTGATGACTTAGCCCCTAAAAAAATCCCTATGATGTACTTTTTGGGTAGAAGACCAATGAATTCGGATCTTAAAGTCAAATTCATATCCTAAATATAATTCAAAGTTTGGATTCTAAACCTAGCTCCTGAGAGGAGCTGGTTTACCTAATTCAGAAACAGATTTTTCCTCCAGTTCCACATAATGTAATTATATCTTTGAGGGATCCCAAATTATTTGGGTAATCTTAATTTTGCTTAATGGGACTGTTCTGCTGCTGCAGCAGGAAAACTCATTTCAGAAGTCTCACTGAATTCAGCAAGGCAACAAATAATGCTGTCAGAGTCAGCAATGGTATCAATTTAATTAAATATCTTTCATTTTTAAAATGCTTTTAAGCAGTTTTCTAAAGCATTCATGTGTATGTGCACACAATGACTACAGCATATGTGGAAACTTGCAAGTATAACCTGCCATTGCATCTTAAACACCAGGAAGTCTCATCTCGTTTCACCTCACCTGTAATGTTTTCCAGTGTATCTGTGAGCCCCACAAATGTCCAGAAATCAATCACTGTACATGGACATATGAGTGTGTCCAGGGATAGATGACCAGCATAGAGAAAGACAGAGAAGCCCTATCAGGAATGGTTGAAAAGCTGTGTTATGTTTAGCCAAGAAAAGAGAAGATTAAAGGGGGATATGGGATATGTCATCAAATATCTGAAGGGGTGACATACATAAGGCTGTAGTGAGCTAGGGTTCCTCCCTTCTCACATTCAAAGCCACAGACCTTTCTTGCAAAACATTATTGACCAAAATGTTTTCCAGAAACACAAATACCCAGAATGAATGTCTGAGCATGCACAGAACAGTTTGTTGAACCCAGTCTAGTATTCACTTGAAACTCTGCTCATGAGCAAACCTGGGCCCTATCCCTCAGGAAGGGGCCTTTTGGAAACACACATGCCCCCTCTCTGCACTCCGATCCTAATTGTGCTGCCCTCCTCTGCTGATGTCAAACTCTTTAAAATTGTGTCTTTCTATGAAATACTCCAAAGCCTTTCAAAATGATCTAAAGCTGGGATAAGGAACCTTTCTCATATTGAGAGTCACACTACACATTGGCTGAAACCTGCCGGATTCACATCCCAGGGGTGAGCACGGCCAAAGCCAAGGTAGGCTAAATTATGCACACAATTCTTACCTGTGTTGATTTATGCAAAATCAGCAAAAGCGGCATTTGCATCCAAGCAATCACCTTTCCCAACCTAAACAAGGTTCTCTCCAGCAGCTTTGCAATTGGGTGACCAAATAAGACATAAATATTATCAATACCCCAGAGCAGATCCAGTGATGGGGTGTGGCCTGGGGAGATTCCGGGTGTCTAGAGTGAAAGGTCTGAAGGTGTGCATTTGCCTCATAGACGAGATGTTCCCCACCCCTATTCTAAACATCTAAACATTGTGTGCATCATTATTATTATTAGCATAATGGCACAATGCATCTGTTGCTGCACTGTACCACTTCAGGAAGCAGGAATACATTTTTATAGACATTCATTCTGATGCAAACAGAACCAGCTCTCAGCACACTTCATGGTAAAATGTCAGGGAGAAAGCTAGGCTAGGACATGCGATACTCGTGGGACCTGATGGGGCTGTTATTATACAAAAGCATTCAACTCTGCTATCCACACCCTTAGCCTGAAGCGGTATAGTCTGATAACAGATGCATCATGGGAGGCTGCCCACACAAAGGAAAAACACCTACACCACTTAAGTGTGTGGAGCTGCCAGTTCCTTACATTCAAATGTAAGCAGCAGGTCTAACCCAACATTAGATAGACTCTCCGAGATATGATGGACATGCTCACTGTCAAATATGGCATCACACGTACAGAAATACAATGGGATGTCGATACAGCATTTTGGTCAACCAAAGGCCTCCAGGTCCTCCTAATGGCATTCCTCACAGGAGCATTGAGGCAGTGAGCAGGCCTAACACTGTGGATGTGACAATCTACACAGATGCCATGAGGTGGTCCTTTTCCACACCACGACAGTTTCACAAGGGGTTTCTTGGCAGCCAAAGTCACATGGCGCACTGGAAGGAAGAAAAGCACAGTAGCCTGCACTGGAGTATATCAACACATATCTAATCTGGGAGATTTGCATTGGGTCTGTTCCAGAACTTCCTGGCCTTCTAGTAGTCTTTGCTAACTTGGTTGTTGTTGTTGTTAGTCGTGAAGTCGTGTCTGACCCATCGCAACCCCATGAACAACATTCCTCCAGGACTTCCTGTCCTCCACCATCCCCCGGAGTCCACTCAAGCTCATGTCAACTGCTTCAGTGACTCAACATAGCTACCTCATTCTCTGCCGTCCCCTTCTTTTGCCGTCAATTGTTCCCAGCATTGGGGTCTTCTCCAGTGAGTCCTTCCTTCTCATTAGGTGGCCAAAGTATTTGAGTTTCATCTTCAGCATCTGGCCTTCTAAAGAGCAGTCAGGGTTGATCTCCTCTAGGACTGACTGGTTTGATTGCCTTGCAGTTCAAGGCAGGAGTCACCTCCAGCACCACAATTCAAAGGCCTCAATCCTTTTGCGCTCAGCCTTCCTTATGGTCCAGCTTTCACAGCCATACATTGCAACTGGGAAAACCATAGCCTTGACTATACGCACTTTTGTTGGCAGGATGATGTCTCTGCTTTTTAGTATACTGTCTAGATTTGCCATAGCTTTCCTCCCCAGGAGCAAGCATCTTTTAATTTCTTGGGTGCAGTCCCCGTCCGCGGTGATCTTGGAGCCCAGGAAAATAAAATCTGTCCATTTCTTCCCCATCTATTTGCCAGGAAGTGATAGGACCAGATGCCATGATCTTAGTTTTCTTGATGTTGAGTTTCAAGCCAACTTTTGCACTCTCTTCCTTAACCTGCATCAAGAGTCTCTTTAGTTCCTCTTCACTTTCTGCCATGAGAGTGGTATCATCTGCATATCTGAGGTTGTTGATATTTCTCCCAGCAATCTTAATTCCAGCTGGTGATTTGTCTAGCCCCGCCTTTCTCATGATGTGCTCTGCATATAAGTTAAATAGGCAGGGCAACAGTATACAGCCTTGCCGAACTCCTTTCTCAGTTTTGAACCAATCAGTGGTTCCGTGTCCAGTTCTCACTGTTGCTTCTTGACCCGCATATAGGTTTCTCAATAGACAAATAAGATGGCCTGGCACTCCCATCTCTTTAAGAACTTGCCACAATTTGTTGTGATCCACACAATCAAAGGCTCTAGCATAGTCAATGAAGCAGAAGTAGATGTTTTTCTGGAACTTCCTAGCCTTCTCCATGATCCAGCATATGTTGGCAATTTGATCTCTAGTTCCTCTCCCTCTTTGAAATCCTGACTGTACTTCTGGTAGTTCTCGGTACACATATTGCTGGAGCCTAACTTGTAGGATTTTGAGCATAAATTTTCTAGCATGTGAAATGAGTGCAATGGTGCGCTAGTTTGAACATTCTTTGACATTGCCCTTCTTTGGAATCGGAATGTAAACTGACCTTTTCCAATCCTGTGGCCACTGTTGAGTCTTCCAAATTTGCTGGCATATTGAGTGTAGTACTTTTACTGCATCGTCTTTTAAGATTTTGAATAGTTCAGCTGGAATACTGTCACCTCCACTAGCTTAGTTGTTGCCCAGACTTCCTAAGGCCCATTTGACTTCACATTCCAGGATGTCTGGCTCAAGGTCAGTGACCACCTCATCGTGGTTATCAGGGACGTTAAACTCTTTCTTGTATAGTTCCTCTGTGTAATCTTGCCACATCTTCTTAATCTCAACTGAGTGTCCTTTCAGCTTTGACCCAGTCACTTCATTCTTTCTGGCACTACTAGTACTAGCCCTCTGCTCTTCCCCAGTAGCATATTGGACACCTTCTGACCTGAGGGTCTCATCTTCCGGCGTCATATCTTTTGCCTGTTGATACTGTCCATTGGGTTTTCATGGCAAAGATACTGGAGTGGGTTGCCATTTCCTTCTCCAGTGGATCAACTTTTGTCAGAGCTCTCTGCTATGACCTGTCCATCTTGGGTGGCCCTGCATGGCATAGCTCATAGCTTCATTGAGCTACGCAAGCCCCTTCGCCATGACAAGGCAGTGATCCATGAAGGAGGCTAACTTGGTATCTACCAGATAATTTGGGCAGCAATGCCTTGGTCAACACAGCAAGTGGTCAGAGATGATTGATGGTATAATCCAAAACAGCTGGAGGCTACCAGGTTTAAAAAGGCTGCAGCAGTGTTTGTAAAGTTGGCTTAGTAGACAATGCCAGAGCATAGTGAGGTTGCCATAATTTGTTTCAACACACAGTTATGTTTCATATTATATTTTAGAGTATCACAATAGGTATCACAACCTAACATGACTGGATAATGTACTGCTTACCTTCCTAGTCAAAGCAACACCATCCTCACAATCCAGCACTGCACAATCCACATGGAGAGATGGAATCTTTTGTATCTTTCGTTCATCATCTGCAGGTACATAGAGTACAGCCCTCCGGGGTATGTAGCTTTGAGAATGTGTTGAGTGCTGTTGATTCTTAGAAACCATGAAAGGCAGAAGAGAATGCCTCCTGTAAAAAGGTAAGGTTCCTATTAGTCTTCCAGTGGTGCTTTCTTTTCTTCTTTGTAAATGTTCCCAAGGATGTCAGCATTTGTTTAGTACAGACAATAACTGCTTCTTCTGTGAATATCTGCATGCCACCTCCCTCTAAGGAGCACAGCAGTCATATTCAATGTATTTGTATGTCACATTTCCCACAATACATTTTGCTCAAATCAGTACACAAAACAAACAAATGCAATCACTATAATAACACAACATCTCAATTACAGTTCATTTAAAACATTCAAATTTAAATGAGCACAGATATACGCATAGGTAGTTGACCATCTCTAGCACCAATAAGAAAATGTAAGGGTATTAAGTCATTCACTAAAGTGTTCCTGTTAAGAGAACTAATAACAGACCCCCTCCAAATCAAACTTAGAACAAAGGGGGCAGGGGGAAACAAGACAATTCAAGCAGCCCACCCTCAAGCAGCACAAAGAGACCCTCCCCTCACTAGGATCCTGTATCCAGCCCTGTAGGATGGTCTAGGGTCACTTCACAGCTTACATTTTTTCAGGATACCACTACAGTGGGATGTGTGGATACAATAAATGTTCACAAATGCTCACACTTAGCTCCATCATTAGGGTACAAACTAATCTTGATTCCTGTGATCATTGCATGGCTTGTTGGAAGATTGGCGAACCTCAAATAACCCACAGGCTGTTGAGTTCCCTGAAGGTTGTTTGAGCTGCAGTGATTATGCTAAGCCACCCACTGGGATAAACTTGGGTTTGGTGCATTGTAATGTCTGACATGAGCCATAGGCTGGAAGAGGCTGACTTGCCCAAAGCTATGTGACATGCTTCACTACTGGGACCCAAGGATACATTAGGTGGAGAGACCTACAAATGCAATTGCTTTCCAAATGGTTTGTTATTTGTTTACTGGAATACGGTGTGTATGTGTGTGTGTGTGTGTTTGGGGGGAACTAAGATGTTTATTGCCACAGTAGTACAATGGCAAAGGACACTTAACCCTTACTTACAATCCATTTTTGCAATGATTATGGATAATTGTTTTTTTTTGGGGGGGGTGGAATACTGCCCCTATGAAAGCAAAGGGGGATTTTGATTGCCAAACTGGCCACAGGGGAAGGGTTAAACAGTAGTCTCTCTGCACCTATGTTAAAATTAGATTGAATCACCGGTGGCTGCAATTCAGTATGTAGGAGTGGAGTAGGCAACATTCTAAAACCATTAGAAAACTAGTCAGAGTCACCAGCAGACTGGCCACATGGTTAATTCATAAGCAAGAAATTCCCACATTCAGTGCCAACGGGCTAGTGCCTACACAACATTCTGTGCTAGGAGAAGATTTTTGGGAGCAGTGGAATGGTCATCTGGGGAACGGCAACAGGCCTAAACTAGTAGCAACACTCAGATACAGTCAAAAAGTCCTAAGGGTTCCACATGGAGCTGGGGTCTGTTCAGAGTCTGCCTGGAGCAAACCATTCAGAGTGGAGGCTCCATTTCTGATGTCAGACTGGCATCCCATTGCTTTGGCTTTGGCACTTGGTAAAGACATTTGTATATAAACAAGCCTTCCCTGACCAACCAGTTACAGTTTTATTGGTACAGTTTGATTTGAAATATTTTAAATTTTAAAAGAGCCAGTGTGGTGTAGTGGTTAAGAGCATGGGACTGGGACTCCATCTGGATTCCAGTCCCCGCTCAGCCATGGAGCCAATGGGTGACTTTGGGCCAGTCACAAACTCTCAGTCCAACCTACCTCACAGGGTTGTTGTTGTGGGAATAAGATGGAGGAGGAGAATGATGTAAGCTGCCTTGAGTCCTTTGTAGGAAAAAGGCAGGATATAAATCGATAAATAAATAAATAAACAATTCCCACACTTGTTGCTTTTGTATAGCCGCCAATTAAATTTTTAAATACAGAGTAGAATCTAAATTTTGCAAGTAAATAAGTACGTACGTACATATGTATGTATGTATGTACGTACATATTTTGGTCCAGAGCTTATTTTACTCTGACAAATTTATAGGGCTGTTTTCCTAGCACAACAAGAGCTTAGCAAACATTGCACAGAGTAGTTTTCCCCCATGGAAAACGTTTGAAAGAACACAGCCAATATCTGCAATTATATATAATTTTGGGTTCATCCATTTAGAAGAACCAACCCAAAAAGCTTAAAAGTGTTGCAATAAATAAGTTCAAGAGTAATAACAATAGGTTTAGTCATGTTTCTTTTAACTGACAGCAGGTAGATATCCTCCCCCCACACCCGAGAGAGCATCTTGTCTTCATTGTTTTGTCCAGACACTTCCTCGGAAAAGACAACCTGTTGGCTTACACTGATTTTCTTAAAAGGTATTGGATCCATCTAAAATAGAGCTACACAACTGACCTTGGGTTCACAAAAATAAAAAGGCAGGATATGAATGCAGTGTAATTATATGTAATAATACTATACTATATATTTAATAGTACTAAATATTTTAAAAATACTTAGTAAATATTTATAAAATAGTCTTCTAGAAAAATAAGGTAACAAAAATACAACCCTCAATTCTACAGGAGATCTGATTATTTTTTACATATAGGACTTTGTAAACTGTTCCTCATTCTGTTTTCATTGTTACATTTGGCATACTGTGTGCAATGTGTCAGAATCCCGGAATCTCAATTTGAGAAGAGGAAATAAAACTCAGGTTCGTGGGAAGGACCAAGCGTCCAGACCATCTAGGCTTTATTGTATTAACCCAAGGTTCCCGAGGTACTCACGATAATGCATGCATTACCGGGCAGGCAGAGGTGAACTCTGCTGCAAAGCTTCAATACCATTGCAGGGTATTTTATAGGTACACAGGTACAGGGCAATTGATGCCAGAATGCAGAGATTACAATAAGATTCTGAGGTCATCAAATACAGAACAGATAAAGAAGTATCATTCAATCACACAGTAACAATGAGATTACAATATCTCCAATTGCCTGTATTGACACTTTAGTTCAGTAGCTTGAACCCATCTCCAGGTCTGCTTAGACATGTAAATTCAAGCTACTGAGAAACTATGCATGAGCTCAAGACTCTAATCTAGCCTCTAGACATTCTGAATTGGCCAGGGCACATGGAGCCTCTGGGCTAGGAAGATACTTCCTTGAATTCCAACAATGATTATTTAATCATTGTGAAGGTATACAATGTAAATTCGGACTAAATGACCTGTGTACTGTAGCTTACAGCTAAAGGTGAGAGAAAGGAGCGGGGGAATGCCATTTTAAACAGTGACAGCTTGGTTTTGAGAAGGAAGACAGGATTTGATCCCACAATGCAAAAAGCACACAGAAGTAATGCTTTTTAGACAGGATTTATCCAAATTTTCCCAACAAATGCAAGAGTCAGTGTGGTGGAGTAATTAGGGCTTGGAGTGGGACTTGAGATCTGAATTCTATTCTTCATTCAGCTACCAAGCTCATTTTGGCCTAGTTTGGCCTCAGCCTAACTTACCTTGAGGATAAAATGGAGAGCGGGAGGAGAATATGTGGGCTACCTTGAGTTTCTTGCAGGAAAAAGGAGGGATAGAAATATAAATATATATATATATAAATAAACTGTGCTATCTTACAGAGAAGCAGTCTTTTGGCATGTAAAGAGGCAGAGAGTTTGGGGCTTGATTTCACAAAATCTTGTTAAAAAATAAGCAAAATCACTAACCTTACCTGTGTCACTAGATGACCTTCACTGTCAGTCTAACCTACCCATCACAGCAATGTTGTGAGATAACCCGCAGGCTATTGGGCAGCACATAAATGTAAAAAAACAAATAAATACAAAATGGAGTGCTTCCATTGAATATTGAAATCATACTGAACTTAAATGTGGTTATTAATTAAGGTTGCAAACATATACCTATTTATCTGGAAATAAACACCCCTGGATACCATGAGGTTCACTTCCAGGCAGACAAAGAATTGTTGAGTTGGACACAAATCGTTGAGTTATGTCACATAGTCCAACCTTTGTTAGGTGCAGGAAATCTAGAGATAGACCACGTCCAACAGATGGCTGACCAGCCTTTGCTTAAAGGCCTCCAGCAAGGAGGAGCAAGTACACCATCCCCTGGGTAATTGGCTCCATTAGTGCAGGACTGATCCATGGATCAATGCCAGAGAGCTAGTGTGGAGTGGTGGCTAGAGTGATGGACTGCATGCCTTGGAGATCCAGGTTCTAGTCCCCCTTCAGCCATAAGTTCACTGGGTGACTTTTGGCCAGTCATTCACTCACAGCTTTACCTACCTCACAGGGTTCTTGCAAGGATAAATTGGAATGGAGGAGGACTATATAAACTGCCTTGAATTCCTTACAAAAAGAAAAAAGGCGGTGATATAAACATTATTGTTGTTGTTGTTAATACTACTGGACAGTAATAAGTCAATACAAGCACTAACTTAAATTATGTTCTTATAAGGGACCTCTAGAGCAAGGACAATAGAGTTAGCTGGCAGAACAAGTTTTCTGGGCAATCCCATAACAGCAGCTGATGTCTCTGGCATTGCACTAGAGATTTCCTGCTCTAGAGCATCATAATTTATATTAGCACTCATTTCACATTGGGTACTGCATGCTGTTCCCAACTCCAGCCATGAACCAGTATTGTCATCAGACCCATCTTGAGATCTCCTGATCAGTAGACAAAGCATAGAGGGATACTGGTTCTTTCTCACCATAGCCCCATCACCCAACTCTCTTCTCCAAGGGTGCCTCAGTTATACCTGTAGCACTGTTATACCTACAGCACATTAATGTGTGCTGCCTTGATATCATTCTGTAGCTCTGTAGTTCTGACATTTTGAACTCAGCCCAGCTTCTCTTTCTTGAAAAGCTGGATTCTATAACCTGTTTCCATTAGTAATAGGCACATGCAAAGTCAGAGTATGGAAGTTCTGAGCCTTGACCCTGCGAATATTGTTCTGTTTTCCATCCTTGGCTTTTCAGATTCA